AAGGGAGATTTCGCCGGATAAGGTCGAAAGACCAATGACAATAATTGATTTATAAACCTTTCATGTGATCTGCTGTCAGAGAGTATTGTGGGATTGAGAGACTGTAAGACCGCCCGTCGCCAGCTCGGCCTATGTTATCTAATCAGCCCTGAATTTGAAGGAAATAGCTTCGGTTACTCCCACGAATGAGTTGTGCACTGCACAGCAAATGGTTGTTTGAAATCGTTTAGCTCATCACAACAAGATGAGAAAGCAGAATGAAGAGCAAATAAAACTCTTTGTTTGCTTTAACAATATTTAAATCCAAAGCATTGCTAAACATTGGGAAATGTCAAATTGGCCAAATTCCAAAAATTTGGAAAACTGTAAAATGGAAAACAATTTTAAAAAAAGCAAAGACAGAGGGAAGAAAAAAAAATTTGAAATCCAGACGATTAAAGTTGAACAGAAAATGTTTCCTCATCCTAATTTTGATGGACACTGTAGGGTTGAAAAATAAAGTAATCCATATTAAATATTACGATTATTGTTGATCAACAGTTCAGTAGCATGAAAGGATATAATAAGATCAATATAGCGAGGCAGAGTCTCTCAGAGGTTAAGATAGGCAGTCCACAAACCAAGAAAATAAAAAAAACTGTGACAAATTGAGGTATTTTTGAAAAAAAAAGTATGGCAACATATGAAACAACAATTTCATTTGAAATCTTCCAAAGATTCAGAGAGTCACAACCAAATATCCCTTTTAAGCATCATTGCACTAAAAATTAATATGATTTTGACACACAAATGACAAAAAGGCACTCTGCAGACACAGCTGACCATGCTAACCATGAAAGCAGCTTAAAGCTAAATCATTCAGAGGAGACGCCATGTTAACATCAACCAAAAACAGCCTACACACAACAAAGAAGATCCAGTGCTGTTAGAATTCTAAATATATATTTTTTTATTATTAGATGTCAAGCGACTGATTAAAGGTTTAAGCTCTGTTTAAGCTCTGTCTTTGTTTAGATGTGTTCCTTTAGTCAAGTCCAAGTTAGTCTAGAAGTATAGCAGTGAGAATAAGCACATGAAATAACAATCACAAAAAAGGAGGAATTAGCATTTAGATGAATAATACTATTCATTTTACACACTTCATAACTTTTAGGACATCAATCCGTCAACATGCAGACTGTGTTCTGAACTTATTTGCAGGATCTACTGTTCAAGCTTCTGTCTGTTTAAGGCTCCCCTTTTCAAAAGTTTAGTCAGCTGGTCAATTGTTCTACTAATTCATTTGTATAAAGGACAGGAGAGCTGCACATCTTTGCCTTAATAGTGCCATGCTAACAACGATAAGCATGGCCATGATGATAACTTGCACAGATGGTTAAATGAAAACAGCAGAAAAACCTGCTCCGCAAACAAGGTGCTCCGGGCTCTTCAGGAGATAATAACTCTCTTTGAGCTTTACAGTTTTGCAAACCTTTTACATGCACAAAAAGCTTCATTAAGGAAGGAGCGGGGAAAAAAGCCAGAGGCATAATATGATGTGTTTAAATCTATTGTTCACAATAATTTAAGGTCCAAATCTTGACCAGAATATGTAGCGGCTTGCATCGCGCAGCTGTTATTTTTTTAGAACACAGCTCCAGGCTCTTGTTGGATGCAAGTAACAAGTGAGCATTAAACTCAATGAAGATCGACTGCAAAGTAGGAAACCTTAAGAATTACAAGAGAGATCCAGTAAATACCTCGACTCTTCTGGCTAAATCAAACAGTTTTGCCAAAACGCACGGCTTGGTGATCAAGTCAATCAGCGTTTTAATGTCAAAGCACATGTTAGTATTGATACCACAGAGAGATACCGCATGCCACAAGAAATAAGCAGAAAAGTCTTGACTCTCTGTGGATTCAGAACTTTTTCCCGTTTGTTTCAGATTGTAAAAGGTTTGTGAAATAGACAAAAATAGACAAAAAAGGGGGATTCTTTTTTCTACACTTCTAAAAGTGTGGCCAAATCTACATTAATATGCATAATGCAAGGGAAGTTAATTTGTAGAGCACAATTTGAACAAGCAATTCAGAGTGCTTTATGTCATAAGACAAAGAAAAACATTAAAAACATGATCATCAGTTAACAGAATTAAAATTGAAAGGGAAGAGTCGAGATAAAATACCGTTAGTTCTCATGCAGGGAAACTATAGTTCCGTGTGTGTGCTATTGCCGTGTTGTGGGTAGACGACGAGCATTAAAGAAAGGACCACAATGAACAATGAAGGATCTCGAAATTGGCATCAGGACTTAATAATACAGCAGAATTGCATTTCTGTGAGCCTCAAATTGGTGTTATGGCAACTATCTGCAGTCGCTGCTCTTCAGATAAGGATGCAGCTCTCACAGCCTTAAACACAAGACTTCATATTAGCCTCACTTCAGTTGGCAGCTCTGTTTTTTTAGTTTTTTTTTTACAAAAACCCAAAAGAGGTGGCCCCTGGAAAATAATAGAAATATTCTGGCACACAGCCCGGTGTGTTATACTGCTGACATAACCGGGTGAAACACATCACGCCGGGAACCGTCTTTCAGTAATATTTTTAATGTTTCCTTTGAGGGAGTTTGCTCTGCTCAGCTTCTAAAGGTTGAAAACCCAGTGCCTGCTGCTTGATAACTTTAGGGAACGCCGCGGCGAGCTCATTTGCTGAGCGTGGCTGTGAAATTATTGAGTGAGATGATGTGAGCCCGGTGGACGTCTGGCTGTAGGTGTCAGTTTGAGCCTTCTGGAGGTGGCGTGACGTGTTTGACACGAGGTGTGCCAACTGGATAATATCAGCCATACAACCAGTCTCCTCCATGCAAAGCCTTGTTTTTGTATACCATGAAATTAAAACCAGTGTCAGTCTGTGTGGCAGTGTAAGCTGTCCAATTTACTGCTCTTCCGAATGACTTGTTCAATTATTTTGTACAACTTTGGGAGCAGCCCTGTTTGCTTTGTAGACCTTCATATTTGTCTTTGTAAAGACTGACATGATTGTGCCGCTCCCTCATGTTGGGTTTAGGGAAATGATGTGTACATCCAGCATGCACCATTTCCTTGTAAAAAAAAAGCAAAAAAATATTTTTGTGCTTTGCATATGTGATTTAAGAGTTTCTATGGCTACCCAGGCATATCAGGACATTTTGGAATGTGCTTTTTTCCTATCTATATCTGCATCAGGACCAAATGTGTCTCTCTACAATCCAGAGATATGCGGAAGCACTGTGATTGTGGAACGTTCCATATTTTCTATCCTCAAATGTCAATATCCACTGCATAGCCTTTTCTGTGAACTGAGCAAATACTGACTGGATCCAAGAATCCATGCCAGGCCTGTTTTAAGATTTGGTAAACACTGTCCTCTAGTGCTCACACATTCAAAAACACACAGTGCACACCATTCTCCAGTTGCAAATGACTAACATAGGAGCGGTTTGGTCTTTAGAAAAGATATACAGTGGAATTTGTGTATCAGTACTTAACCCTAAATTATGTTTATTCTTTATAATGTACACTATCTGCTTGAAATAGTGCCCACCCCCTTTATAATGAGGTGACACTTCAGTTCTATAATTAAAACTGCAATTAATTATTGTGCCTCTAGAAATCCTCAGCTATGAGCACAGAGTAAAAGCTTCTATTGGACAAAAAATGTCTGTTGCCATGGTTTTACTATCAGCTACTCTCAGCTGGCTTTTAGTTGAGCTGGTCTACCTAATGAGGCAAGACACAATTACAGAGTAAGCAGCAGTAAAAAGGACAGGATAGCCAATCTTTCCTCCTCTAAATGAACAGATCTGTCAGTCTCGAATGCTCTCTATCAGTCTGATGTCATCACCCAAAGTTGGGCAAAAAAAGATCAGGCTGTCTTGATTTTTACATAACCACGAGGTGATGTGGATTTCAGCCTTTTCACGACAGATATGCCTGTCATCTTGAGAGCCTTCAGGATATTAGAGACCAAAAATGGAACATAATGCCGCCGTTATAATTAGGCTCATCCTGCTCAGCTTTTGATGGCAATGTCCTTTCCTTTCAATTCGGCACCATCTGGCAATATTAGTGTAGGCAGGAGCTGGAACTTGTTAGAACAACCAGTCTCTGGTTAGGAGGCAGTCATTGTTTTTGGCAGGTGGCATATCCCATTTGTTAGGAGTGAGCACGGTTCATGAGCAGCAATTAATGCTAATCTCGTCTTATCCGGTCACAAAAAACTACTGTTACGTCCAGACAGTTATGAAAGGTGTGTAGCTGTAATAACGTTGAAATCAAGTCAGGCATTTTGTTTTATTCCAGAGGGCAGTGGGTGCTTTATGCAACGGGGGATATAAACAAAAAAAAAAGGGCATTTGCGGTGTCACTGTGTACCCGTGTCTGCAAACAGCCCTGTTGGGTCAGTTGACCAAACAAACACGACAGGTCATACAGACCTTGCAAACTCCCATTTCTCTCAGTAGAAACTGTCCAACATTTGCACGCAGGACGCAGTTCATGACTCCAAAACTCACTCAGAGCTCAGCACTGTGCCAATATTTGGGTGTATTTAGATTTTAAAAGGACCTTCTATTCAATGTACTTAACTGGCAGGTGAAACAGAGGAGTCTGTCAACTATTCAAATTATGCTTATTGCAGCCTACACTCAGTCCTTTTCATATTTTGAGGCTAACAGGTAAAATATAATTTCATAAACTAGAATTTTTAAGCATTATCAATGAGTAATACAAAGTTGGCACCAGACAGACACGACACTCGGAATTTTAAATTTAAGATTCCATGATTACATCTGCAGGGTTTCCAGGGGTTTCATCAGCTCCCCTGCTCATTGTCTAACTTGATATTGTTGTAACATATGCTCGAGCAGATTTCAGGGATTAGATCATATCGTAGCCTTCATTTCATCAAGAGATTGGGAAAACCCTGCTTTCATTATACAGCGTGTCAAATATTGCTATGACAAAGTGAAAGAGACAAAAACATGTTGCTCCATGTGTTTTTTAATAATGGGAGTTTTTAGTAAAATTATAAGTAGATGCAGACAATTATACAACACTGCTTTCATTTTTATTTTTTTATATTTCCACTGAAAATAGTGAACGGATCACTAATTTTCTTTCATAATGCCACATTTTTATCAACAAATTTCATCTAAACGATGCAGACCGGATCAAACTTCGATGGGGTACCGTCATATTTTTTCATGCTTGTCCGATTCCAGCCATTGTGACGTTTTGCTGAAACTCCTGAAAACCAGCAGATGGCACTGGAAATGACATGCCATGGCGGGACACTGTATACTATTGATGACACAAGAAAAAGAGACATTCATTTAGACGATTAGTCATTTGAGGTTCGGTTATATATCGGCTCAGCAGAAGCAAAGGCATTTCCTTTGATACCTGTGGGAATTTGATCTTCACATCAATGCTGTCTGAAGAGGCAGCAGACACTGATGCAGACACTTCCTGCTTGGCATTTCTCTCATTTTCCTGGTAGAAGCCAAGAAACAGAGCAACGCCAGGAATATAGCTCTGTATTCTGAAAAAAAAGGAGAATGTATCAACACAGTGAATCCGTCGCAGTTGCAAACACAGCAAATGTTTACTTGTTTGTAGAGTTTCAGTTCTCTAATTTCACCTAATTTCCCTTTTCCTCACACAACCTGTTTGGCTCACCTTGTGCCCATCTCTGTCATGTATTCTGGGATCCTGGTCCAGTGTACTTTGGCTTTCACAGTTGGCATGGAACCAGGAGGTTGAGATGCAGTGGCTCCCATTGACATTTCATAGCTCTGACATTCAGCTCCCCATTTCACATGTGCCTAAAAAAAATAAAAACAGGGGTATATAGCAAATATTAAAACAACAACAAAAATATCTTTGTTTCCTTTTCCAAGTTCTTCTCTTTAAACATTAAAGAATTATCTGAGGATTATGGAAAAAGACAAATGCTTTACCACTGGAAAAAGACCATGCTCACACCTAGCTGTGATGGGGGTGTATTCCATTAAAACTACAATTACCCCATAAATATGACGAAAAGAAAAGAAATATGGATACTTATTACAGACAGATATAGTCTGACATGTATGTCATGAAATAGGATAAATGACAACAGTTGAGAAATGAGGCAGTTCCGGAATAACAAATGATTTTTTAAAATCTTTTTTTAATGACTGGGTGAATATTTCAAAGTTATGGCTATAAAAAAGATTATAAAAATCAAAAAGATTAAAAAAACACTGGGCTCCTTTCCTCTACATTAAGATAATTCAAAAAGCTCGTAAAAAGTGAGCCTCGAGGTTCAAAGAGAACTTTGTTCAACAAAATCTACGAAGAAAAAGGTAAAACCACTCTAAACACTTCTACTAAATGAAAAATCTGTAAATGATATACTATGAAAACTTGCATTTAGAGCATGCATCAGCTCTTACTCCATGTTTCATTTTATGGAGCATAAAACTGACAATTAAAAATACATAAGAAACAGTCAATGTGTCCCATTACAGCTTCCCATTAAAGCTGGAGATACATCTCAGAATGGATTTAATGCAAATGATTAATTATTTGGTGTTGCATCACCACTCATGATGGAAAAAAAAAATAGAAATCGTGGAGTCATAACATTCATGTTTCCATCTTCCCGAGAGTCAATTAAAAAATATATAATGTCACAACAAATAGAGAGTGTAGGCTTCTCAACATGTAGAAATAGCAAGTGATTATAAACACATTTCCGAGTATCATCAGCAACATCTGTCAAAATTACAGAACCATTTATAACCACAAAGAATGGAACTAGAACTCAGAATAAACTCAGTGTTTTTTTCAATCAAGTAAAGAAAATACTGCCCTCTAGAAAGGTACGACTCTTTAATGTCGTTTTAATCTTTTTGAGCAACAACTTCTTGTTTAGGAAGTTGGGTTTGGGGTAACCATGCTGCTTTATGCTGCTGCTAAATTCTCATTCCAGCCTTTGAACATCCTCTGTTGAATAATTCTTTATAACAGGAAATTTTATAACAGCGTTGAATATGCTTATTCATTATCCTAAAACATATATTTCCTGAATCTGTGAAAAGCTACCCTGACTACAGCACATGTCAGACTTGCTTTTGCTCTTTTCCACCTACCTTTGCCTCCACCTTTGCGTGGACGTCCATGCTGGTGTCAACACACATCTTCCAGTTGGTGTTCTCTCCAACCTGGGATACAATTAGCTGGGCGTTCTGAATGGTTGCCTCGGGTGTATAAAACATGGCTGCGTCGTAACCCCCGGGCTTCTGGTTCCCACTCATGGCGAGGGCTTTAAAACTGAAGGCAGGCTCAGGTGTCGAGTTCCAGGCCTCAGAAAAGAACAAGAAAGCAGGCTCTTTTATTCAGCTTTATACAGTGGATTGATCACATTTAGCTAAGTGCAAAGCAAGGATGATATCAGATGTGTGAATTAGTGTAACTTGGAATATTTGTGGATGCATGGGGACCATAAGACATAAGTACATCAAACTTTTTCTTCATTGTGATGAAAAAGTCGTGAAACAAAAGCACAGTTGAGACATTAAACGAGTTTGCTTGCGGTAAAAAATCCATTTCATAAAGGTAAACTGTCCGACCGTTCATTGTGAGGCCTTTTATACCATTGAGATGTCACCGTGGCTGTGATGAGGTCCTCTGACAGTTGAGGCTGAGTCTGACGACCGCTGGACTGCTTCCTGTAAACGCAGTTTAGTCACAGGGGATTTTTCAATCAAGCGCCAGCACAGGTGTCGCGTTAATAGCGTTGCATGAGAAGCCAAACACCTCGGAAAGCCTCCTCAGCGTCTCGAGCAGTTGGCGTGCTCCCACTGGATGTCTGCTGGGGTTGGCATTCACCTCAAAGTGGATCTTGTCAACTGCCTTGTTTGTCTGGGCTAATAGAAAGTGCACAGGCTACATTAGCAAATGGAGTTTAGAAAAACAATGTGTGCAGTTATTGACACAGGAAGAGGAAATTACACCATCATCATAATCAGTTTATAAGTGGTAGCACAAACCTACTTTAGTCATTTTGAAAATGTACCCTTTGAAAATGCGAATAATTCAAATATTTTTCAATGTATGCTGGATATGGATCATTTTCCCCACTTCTGTTATTACCCATTCTTTAAGGGGCTCTGACGCCTTTGATGAACAACTGATTTTAAACAGAAGTTTCCAGAGGTGTCAATCCAACACTGCTTTGATTTTGTGATGTTCCGAAGGGTTTATTCAGTTGAAACTGCAATGCCAATTCATCGCGACACATTTCTTGATATCCATCCAAAGAAAATGAAGAGATATATTGAATAAACTCATAGTTTTATTGACTGTTAAATATAGACTAAAATCAGAAGTGAACTGTGCCCTGTTAACCTATTAGTGTGTCACTATCGCATTGATTGTGTATTGGCTATGGATTTTTTTTCATAGAAAAAAAAGTCACGCAGCATTTGTTGTTTACAAGTAGTGAAGACAGTTAATTATGTTTAACTTTAGGAGAATATCTCATACTCATCGTGCTTTCTAGGTCATGTGTGTTTGTGGTTGCGTGCTGACTTACCTGGAATGATTTTAAAGGCCATGTGGGTGTAACCAAGGAAGTAGTACAATGGGTACTCCTCTTTAAAATACTGTCTGTTCAACTCATACTCCATACAGAGCCCCACTCCGTAGGTGTTACTCTCGGCACACATTTTGGAAGTTGGACGCCAGGTGTTTGGTGTAAGGATCTATTACAGTGGGGAAATGACAAACACATGGTTCTACTTGTGGTCACAAAAACCTTTGGGGTCTCAGTGTTGCCGTCTGTACCTGTTGTGGCTCAGGCCGCGCTCCAGCGGGATCCATGTGGACAACTGCATCACTGGAGTTAACAGCAGTGGGGATTAAAGGGGTGATTTTGGCTGAGTCTGGCTCCTCAATGTTTCTGGAGACTGCAGACACATCGGATCTGTTAAAAGAGAAGGAGGGGAATTTATCTCCTGTGATTACGTGAAAAATGTTTTTAAGTTTTAATATTGATCTAAACTCGATTGCGTATCGTGATGTTGCAATTTAGTGTCCACTAGCAAGCCTTCTTTCTCCTGGAGAAACTAATCATTGGCAGTGTATCCTGCTGAGTTATTTTTATTATACCAATATACAGTGAAGTCCTGATAATAAGATCACATGCAGATAATCCACAATGTAATCTTTGATGTAAGAAACAAAAGGCCTATTTGTACCTATTATTGAATAATTATAATAATAATTATACTACTACTACTACTACTATTGCTACTACTACTACTATTACAACCAATTGTCACGCCTGGGGGAATGTCTCGTCTTGATTACCTATTGTGTACAC